CTTACATAGTGTAAATTACATATAGCGCTGCACTATGATATTAAATCATATGATGTGCAACACCCCAAAGATAAAAGCAGCAAGAGAAAAGCAGCAAGGCAAAAGCAGCAGAAAAGAAAGCAGCAAGACAAAAGCAGCAAAAGAGAAAGCAGCAAATTAAAAGCAGCAAAGCAAAAGCAACAAAAGCAAAAGTAGCAAAAGTAAAGCAAAAACAAAAATAGCAAAAATAAAAGCAACAAACTGAAAATAGCGAAGCAACAAAAGCAAAAGTGGTAGCAAAAAGCAATTGGTGAAAAAAAATAACAATTATCAAAATATACAATCACTAATTTTATTAGCTGATTATATAAGGTGCATGACCATGCAAGTATGTAAAAAATATTTTTTCTAAAAATATATATATTTTTATTCTTTTATTATCCTGATATTTAACTTACAAGTTTATAGCATTATAGCAACATATAGATATATAAAATATATTTATCAATATTTTTAACTCTTTTATTATTCTAATACTTAAATAAAAGTTCATACTATTATAGCAACATATAGATATATAAAAATATATATATGGGAAGAAGTCAGTAGAAATGGGACAAATCATTTTTAGTAAAATTTTTTTAATTTTTAAATTACAATTTCTTGACAACTACTTAACCAATTTTGATAATTTTTATTTTATTTTAATTTTAGAATTATCTAAAATTAAAATAAAAAAAATTTATTAGATTTAATAAGATAGTTGACAAAATATTTAAACTTAAAGTTAAGAAAACTTTTACTTAGAAAAATTTGTTCCATTTTTACTGACTCTCTCCCATATAACTATATATTTTTTACTTTTTTATTATCTTAATATTTAACTTACAAGTTTATAGTATTATAGCAATATATAGATATATAAAAATATATATAAAAATAAAGTATTTTTATTTGTACACAGTGTGTATATACACAGTTAATATAGAGAACCAATCAGATTGCATGATTAGATATAATGTAAAATTATTGTTTTCTTTAAAATATTATCAATGTCTCAAAATTTTGCTTATGAAACTACTTTTGAATTCTAACAAAAAAATTTCTTGTGAAATTTTGATATAGGCTATAACCCTAAATGCTCTCTTACCCTAATCTAAAGTAGAAGCTTAAGTTTTTATTTATAAAAGTTGTTTTGATTAGCTTATTACACAGATTTACAAATTAATATCTGTGTTTAAACACACTGTGCACAAATAGTAATTTTCATAGAAATATTTTTTTTTTTATTACTCTTTTATTACTGTCAACTATCGATATAACAGACACCTTTAGACCAGAATCACCAGTTTAACAGACTAATTACAAGGTACAGAATTTTTTATATATAATTTAAACCATTATAACGGATTTAATAGTAAAAAAGCCATATTATGTATAACAGAAATCTCTGTCAGCCCATATACTAATTTTATTAGAAATTTGCCTACTTATATAACAGCGTCCACTAGACAACCAATCAAAATACGGATTTTCAACACGTGACCAGTAATTAATGCAAAATAGCGCTGAGCATCTTCACTTTGTAATGCCTTTTTTTTTTGCACCAACCCTGAAGTCAGACAATAATGATAAGAAAATGCCGTTTTGTATATAAAGAACAATAATATGACATATTGATGCCTTTTTCAGTATAGCCTTAGAGTTGAGATTTTTTATTTCTTAAATTTACTTTTTTTTTTTTTTTTTAAATCTTTTAATTCATTTAATTCATTTTTTCTTTCTAATTTTTTTTTTCAATATTGTTCGTGAACTGATCGTTTCAAAATATTGTCAGTGACATAATATGGACTATAAGTGCAAATACTTATCTTTTAGTTTCTATCTCATCCATCTTTTGCTTACCTTTCTCAGTTACCTTTTAGTGCATACCTTTTTCAGTTGTCTTTTTCTGCCTCCTTTTTTCAGGTACCTTTTTCTGCCTCCTTTTTTTAGGTGCCTTTTTCTGCCTACCTTTCTTTGTTACCTTTTTTCACTTTATATTCTAAGCACATTTCTCAATTTTCAATATTATCTCATGAGAACAATTAAAAAAACAACATTCCTATACTCAATCTTGAGTAGGACCATCGGCTCTAGAGTTGTGATAACTCTAACGGCTCGGTTGGGTATTGGATGTTTTTTTTTCTCTCTATCTCTGATTCTATTATATTTTACTGAATTATCAATGATCAGACGCCCTATCTCTCTGAAGTATAAATTTAGGTGTGTGCAGATTTTATTCAGGAGTTTTTTTCAAATTTTTTTTTTGATTTTAACACGCAACACATTTTATCTTTTTTGCTCAAAGGAAAAAAAAAAGAACAGAAAAAAAAAAAAAAAAAAAAAAAAATAGTTACAAAGGTTAACACACTTCCTGTTAAAAGAAAACACCTAACTGCTAAACAAAAAAAGAAGATTTGTGAAAAGAAACTAAAGTTTCTGTCTATCCTCAATAATAAACTAGCCACTGAGTATGGTGTTAAAAGAACATATTTTTCTTACGTTCTTAAGCAGTCTTCTAAGTGGCTAAATATTGATACAACAAATAAAGCTGAGGCAAATCATATACATGACTGTCAGCCAAAGTGGCTCAAATTAGATGAAGCTATGCGTATCTGGGCCGAAAGTGCGCTTGTAGCAAATATAGATCTAACTCAAACTGCCCTTATTACTAAAGCTAAGGTTTTCGCTACAGCTTTAAACATTCCTGACTTTAAAGGTACTGGCTGGGTCAATAAATTTTAGAAGTGATTAGGTCTTCATCAGTATACTAGAAATGGTGAGGCTGCTAGTTTCCCACTTACAGAAACATTAAATTAACACAGAGAACATTTTCAGAAAATCTGTGAAGAATATACCCTGGAAAACATATGGAATGCAGATGAAACGTCTTTCTACTGGAAGATGCACCCCTCTAAAACCCTTGCACAAGACCCCGTTTCAGGCTATAAGAAAGAAAAAGCACGTGTAACTGTAATATTAGCAGCAAATGCTACAGGTACAGAGAAGCTCCCTCTCATGTTTATTCATACCTTTGAAAATCTGTGGCCTCTTCGAAATATTAACAAAAAAAGGCTTCCTGTCTGGTACTATTGGAATGAAACAGCCTGGATGCAAGTTTCTACATATAATGATTGGTTAAACCATGTTAATGCAATGATGAGGCTTCAAAACTGCCATATTCTTCTTTTTGTTGATTATTGTACTACCCATATCTAGCAAGGGGAGCTTAGCAATATTCAAATTGAAAAGATACCAAAAAATACTACTGCTCACCTTCAGCCGTACAATGCCGGCATTATATATTCGTTCAAGTGCCACTATAAACGTATTTTCACAGAAAATCGGCTTGCAGTATTTGACAAAATGCAAATAGAAGGTTCTGAAATTAAAGATTTTAGTATTCTTGATACTATTAATGCTACTTCTGAAGTATGGAACAATGTTACTCAGGAATGATTATGAGCTGCTAGCTGAAAACGGGTATTCTTCCACGATACCAAGTAGCTGAAAGGGATCAGGTATGCCAGCAGGTGGAACAAAAGTTGAAAAGTGAGTCTGATGAACTTGGTGATTTGATAATTGATTTGTCAATAAATGGTGAAATCGATAACCCTATGGATGCAAATGAATTTATGAACATCGATGCTGATATCGCTTTTGAGATGCCGTCTGACGGTGATATAATCTGTGCTATTAATAAGGACGATGACTGCCTCCCTCAAGAAGAAACATTACCAGTGTCTAGAATTACAAACAATGAGGCTTTGAAAGCCCTTGATTTGGTTGAAATGTATCTTTTGCAACAACCCGAGGATTTTGTTGTAACTGATAGGGATAAAAGTACTGTCTATTAGTTGAGAAAGGAAGTTTCAAGATATGTCTCTCTTCAAAAAAAGCAGGCTAACATTACAGAGTTCTTTTTTTAATAAGGACCAAAGTTTTTTTGATCTTTTTTTTTTTTTTGCATTTTATGTTTTTTTTTTTTTACTTATTTTTTTTTTACTTTATTTTTTTTTTACATTTCATCTTGGCGTGCAGATCTTCTGGAATACTCTTTGATTCACATGGTTTAACAAAAAATTTGGGGGTTTTAAGAAAATGCGATAGAAATAGGAATTCGGCAATATATTTTTTTGTTGCTTTGTTATATTTTCATTTAATATATCGGTTAAACTTGTCCAACTGAAGTTTAATTCATGTGCCACTTTAATTTTGATTTTAAATTGTTCAAAATGTGATTACGACGATTGCATTTTATTAGATCGGGATTGTATAATGAAACTTCTCATAAGTGCACGCCTATGGGATCGGAGTATATATATGCATTTAGAGAAATGCACAATAGAAAATTCAACTAGCAAACCGAAATAAAAAAATACAAGTGATTAACATATGCCTCTTTAGAACCAAAAGTGGGAGGTCTTTAAAGCCTAGCAGATTACGTATTATGCTGTTTTTTCATTAATATTAGGGTTAGGGCCACTTTGGGTTAGAATTAGAGATACTAATATAAGCAAAATTACCTTCTGATATTTTTTGTTAATGCACCAAGACAGGTTTTGACTACCGTTTTTGATATTTTTCACTTTTCTCTCTCTTTTTTGCTTGTTTTGTTTTGATTCAGGTTTATCAAATTTTGACAATCCGATTGGCTGATTATTACATAATCTGCCTGGCTTTAAGGGACTCCCAAAAGTGTGCATTTGGCGCAGATATAAAATTCTGTGTGCATTTACAAAGGATATATACATATGCTCGGTCTCAGAACTTATGCACGTGCAGAGAATAATGGAGTGCATTTAGCACTAAGTTTCAAGCGAACCAAGCTAAGTGTAAACTTAAAGGTATGCATCTATAAAGAGTGTACTTAGAATGCTATAATAAATGACTATGCGTATTTGATTTATTAATGTATTACACAATATCTTTATAACAGATTCTAGCTTAATTCAGTTATATAGGCCGTTATATAGGTATAATGAACATACTATATAAAAGATTTTTTTGGCTAGCCCGGATTTCCGTTATATCGATAGTTGACAGTATTCTAATATTTAATTTACAAGTTCATAGTATTATAGCAATATATTGATATATAAAAATATATATAACTAACTTTTTATTATACTATTATAGCAAAATATAAGTATATAAAAATATATATAATGATA